AATATCAACGTCAAGCTTGGGCGCGCATGGGCGCGCACTCAAATACCACTTCCAAGCTTGGGCGCGCATGGGCACACACTCAAATGACTATACCCAGCTCGGGCGCAAATGGGCGCGCACTCTCTCTGCAATGCCAAGCCTGGGCACGCATGGGCGCGCACTTGAATAATACTCTCAAGCTTGGGCGCGCACGGGCGTGCACTCAAAACTAGTACCGGGCACGGGCGCGCACGGGCGCATACTCAGAAAGCGATATTGAGCATGGGCGCGCACTCAAATAACCATATAAAGCTTGGGCGCGCATTCAAACAGTCAAACTGAGACTGGGCGCGCACTCAAACAGCCAAACTGAGATTGGGCGCGCACTCAAACAGTCAAACTGAGACTGGGCGCGCACTTAAATAATAATATCTGGCTTGGGCGCGCATGGGCACGCACTCAAATAGCAATATCAAGCCCGGTCGAGCATGGGCGCGCACTCGGATAGTAATATCAAGCCTGAGTGCACATGGACGCCTGTTCAAATGGCACTGCCCGCTGCAGGATACAAAATCACAATTGGCAAGTCAAAGAGCGGAGTGCACATCTGCACACAGGCTCAAATTCGTCAAAAGTCGGGTTTTGCAAATCGAGTGTGCAGTGTCGCACTTAAGATCAAATGCCCACAGTCACATCTGCTCAAGATTATCAATGTTGTGTTTACAGGTTGAGTGCGTGATGTCGCACAGACTAAAATCATAAAGGCCAAGTTCTCAGATGGAGTGCGCACTCTCGCACAGACTCAAAATCATCAATGCGATTCTCAGATGGAGTGCGCACTCTCGCACAGTCTCCGAATCATCAGTGCTGAGTTCACAGAGAGTGCGTGATGTCGCACAAAACTCAAGACCATCAATGTCGAGTTTTCAGATGAAGTGTGCACTGTCGCGTTACATCAAAATCGAGTTTTCTCAGATAAGAGCGGAGCGACCCCAAATCTGGGTGCGCACAGTCGCATTACATCAAAAGCGGGATTATCAGATAAGTGCGCAGTGTCGCATACAAGTCTGGGTGCGCACCGTCTCATTACATCAAATGTGGGATTCTCAGATAAGTGCGCAGTGTCGCATCCAAGTCTGGGTGCGCACAATCGCATTACATCAAAAGGCGAGTTTCTCATATAAGTGCGCAGTGTCACGCCCAAGTCTGGGTGCGCACAGTCGCATCACATCAATGTACTCAAAATCAGCATGTTCCAAGGGCTCCGAACAAGTAAATCGTCATGCCCAGAATAAGTGTTTCCTTGCACAATGGATCAGCGTGCTCAGAATGAGTACCTTGTGACACATTAAAGTAACATACTCGGATTGAGTGCTCCTTGGCTCTGTAAATCATCATATGCATAATGAGTGCCCCCATGACACGGTAAATCGATGAGTGCAAAATTGACCCTCAAATATAGCGCGCGTGAGCGCATGGTTTTTTTGGCTCGGAAGATGGCCCTTAAAGCATAGTGTGCGTGAGCACACGTTTCTCTAATACAGTAATAGGGTGCTCGTGGGTGCACCGGGGCAGATCCAGCAGTTCTACAGATCCGAATGGCAATAGCAAGATCAACGATTCCACGGATCCGGATTGCAATGGAGCGCGCGCGGGGGCACAAAGACAAGATCTGCAATTCCAGGGATCCAAATAGCAACTCCAACCCTTATCGAAACTGCGCAGACTGCGCCATACTGCGCAAAGCTGACACACAACGGAGCAGGACTGCGCCAGACTGCGCCAGACTGAAAACCGGTGGATCAGGACTGCGTCGGACTGTGCCAGACCGTGCCAGGTTGACACGCAACTGATCGGAGCTGCGCCAGACTGTGCCAGACTGTCAGACGACGATTCATAACTGCGCTAGACTGCACCAGACTGAAACGCAGCGGATCAGGACTGCGCCAGACTGTACCAGATTGACACACGGCGGATCAGAACAGCGCCTGGCTGTACCAGATTGATACGCGGCGGATCAGAACAGCGCGTGGCTGTACCAGATTGACACGCGGCGGATCAGAATCGGCACAAACGCGGCAGATCAGAATCGGCGCCTGGATGTGCCAGATTGCCAAGTGACAAATCGAGACTTAATCATGTTGCGCCAGCTTGCCAAGTGGCAGATAGGGACTGAATCAAGCTGCGCCAGCCTGTCAAGTGACAGATCGGGACTGTATCATGCTGCGCCAGCCTGCCAAGTGGCAGATCGGGACTGTATCATGCTGCGCCAGCCTGCCAAGTGGCAGATCGGGACTGAATCAGGCTGCGCCAGCCTGTCAAGTGACAGTAGTGCTCGCATGATCATTAGGATCCAACAACAGCGAGCAAAATGCACCATTCCCAACAACAGTCGTAATGCACAAGAACACGCACATCAGCATCACGGCAGGAATGCACGGCGGCATAGGTGCCCAAATCCAAGAAGGACGTGCGCATGAGTCCAAAATTAATCGTGGCACCTACGAAGATCTCAAGGGGCTTACGGATCATTGACCGAGCATGCAAGGCGCCGGCAGGCCCCGTGAGGCTGGCTAAAATAAGGTGAGCGGGGGAGGGGAAATTGAAGAGAGAGCGGAGGGAGCGGAGAGGAGAAGGTAGGAGAGGAGGTAGGGAGAAAAGACAGGTGGCCCTAGTGGAAACCAGGACTGCCACTCTTCCCCGAGCAACCCCACCCCTTTACCTCCTTGCTTGCCTTGATCTTGCTTCTTCTCCAGCTTGCTCCAGCAAAGCAGCCTCAATCCTTCTCCCTTGCCGTCCCGCCAGTGCTTCCGCATTCCCGCAAGTGAGGGCCTCTTGTTCTCCTTCTCAAGTGGCTCAACCTCTGTTTTATAGTGAAGAGGTTGGGTGATCGGGCAAGGTGCAGCAGTCCTTGGGCTAAAAATAGCACAGGCTTGTGCTAAAATTAGCACAGGCCTGCGCTAAAATTAGCGCGGGACTGGGACATTCCCGACTTTGGGACACGAACAGTCAGTCCCGTGTCAAAAATAGCACGGGCCTGGTGCTAAGTATAGCGCGGGCCTGTGCTAAAATTAACGCGGGACTGGGACAGTCCCGACTTTGGGACACGAACAGTCAGTCCCATGTTAAGAACAGCACGGGCCTGCGCTAAATATAGCGCGGGCCTGTGCTAAAATTAGCGAGGGACAACGCTAAAATTAGCACGGGGCTTGGGATAAAAATAGCGCGGGCCTATGCTATATTTAGCCTGCGCTAAAAATAACTCAGGCCTGCGTTAAAAATAACTCAAACTTGCGCTAAAAATAGCGTGCCCTACGCTAAAAATATCACAGACTGGTACTAAAATTTGTGTCGGGCTAAAAGTGGCCCGACTTTGGAATACTAAGGGTCGGCCTTGCTCTCGAAAACAAAACACCCCTCTTATCGTTAATAAGGGGCCCAATCCCGTATTCCCCCTTGACCATTTTGGGCCGTACTCTCCCCGACGCGGTAAGTCCGGTCCCAAGTGGTCAATTCTATTTTTCTCACTAACCCCTGGTCCGTTTTCAGTACCGTTCGGACCGGGCCCTACTAATCTGACCCTTGCAGACGCGGCGGTTCAGCCCAAAAGCCGTGATTCGATCTCCATGGGGCTGGACCGTCGCGCCGTCTTGTCCGCTGACTCGACCCAAGGGCCAAACCAGCGTGTCAACATTTTGCTGATCGTGACCACAAGCAGCCCTATGGTGTGGAGGCTGACCATGACGAATCAACTATACGTTGACGCGGTGTGCCGCCCTCCGACAGCGGTCGACAGCGGTCGGGGGAGCAAGGGCAGAGAGGGAGAGGTTTGGGACGGGGAGGTTGGGATGGGAGCTCGGGACCGGGATGTCGGGATGGGAGACGCGAACAGAGGAGGGAGTCGGAATGGGAGATGGGTTGGGACGTGGTCGGGGGAGGAAGGGGAGAGAGGGAGAGGTCGGGACGGGGAGGTCGGGATGGGAGGTCGGGACCGGGAGGTCGGGTTTGTCACGCAAGGTCGCGGTCGGGATGGGGGACGGGAATGGAGAAGGGAAAGGTCGGGATCAGGTCAAGAGGACGAGGTCGGGGGAGCAAAGGGAGAGAGGGAGAGGTCGGGACGGGGAGATCGGGATGGAGGTCGGGATGGGAGGCGCAAACAGAGGAGGGAGAGGTCAAGATCAGGGAGGGAGAGTTAGGACGATGTCGAGGTCGGGATGGGATGGGAGTCGGGAGGGGGATGGGAGATGGGTTGGGACGCGATCGGGGGAGCAACGATAGAGAGGGAGAGGTTGGGATGGGAGGTCGGGATGGGAGACGCGAACAGAGGAGGGAGAGGTCGGGATTAGGGAGGGAGAGTTGGGACGATGTCGAGGGAAGGAAGGAGAGGGGCAGAGAGGTCAAGACGGGAAGGAAGGGAAGGTGGCAGGGAGAGGTCGCGATCAGGGAAGGAGAGTTGGGACGACGTCGAGATCGGGATGGGAGAGGGGTTGGGATGCGGTCGAGGGAGCAAGGGCAGAGAGGGAGAGGTCGGGACGGGGAGGTCGGGATGGGAGGTGGGAACCGGGAGGTCGGGATGGGAGATGTGAACAAAGGAGGGAGTCAGGATGGGAGACGGGTCGGGATGGGAGGGTGGTTGGGACGCGGTCGGTGGAGCAAGGGCAGGGAGGGAGACATCGGGACAGGGAGGTCGGGATGGGAGGTCGGGACCGGGAGGTCGAGTTTGTCGCGCAAGGTCGCGGTCTGGATGGGGGACGGGAACGGAGAAGAGAAAGGTCGGGATCAGGTCGGGATCACGTGGTCGGGGAAGCAAATGGAGAGAGGGAGAGGTCGGGACGGGGAGATCGGGATGGGAGGTCGGGATGGGAGGTCGGGATGGAAGGCGCGAACAGAGGAGGGAGAGGTCGAGATCAGGGAGGGAGAGTTGGGACGATATCGAGGTCGGGATGGGATGGGAGTCGGGAGGTCGGGATGGGAGATGGGTTGGGACGCGGTCGGGGGAGCAAGGGCGGAGAGGGAGAGGTCGGGACGGGGAGGTCGGGATGGGAGGTCGGGATGGGAGACGCGAACAGAGGAGGGAGAGGTCGGGATTAGGGAGGGAGAGTTGGGACGATCTCGAGGGAAGGAAGGAGAGGGGGAGAGAGGTCGAGACGGGAAGGAAGGGAAGGTGGCAGGGAGAGGTCGTGATCAGGGAGCGAGAGTCGGGACGATGTCGAGGTCAGGATGGGATGGGAGTCGAGTGGGACATGTCGGGACGGGGAGATCGGGATGGGAGGTCAGGACCGGGAGGTCGGGATGGGAGACGCAAACAGAGGAGGGAGACGTCGGGATCAGTGAGGGAGAGTTGGGACGATGTCGAGGCCGGGATGGGATGGGAGTCGGGAAATCGGGATGGGAGACGGCTCGGGGCGCGGTCGGGTGAGCAAGGGGAGAGAGGGAGAGGTCGGGACGGGGAGGTCGGGATGGTTAGTTGATCGTTTTTTTTTTTCCCCCGTTTTTTTTTTTTTTTTTTTTTTT